CCCCCCGGCCGATCTTCCTCGTGCTTTCTACTTTCTACTCTTCGGAATGAAACCCACCCTCCTTTCCTTGCCCAATGCCCTCCCGACTTGTCCCCATTGCCCCTACCCCCCAACAACATATGATAAGTGTTTGTTGCACTACTAAAGAATAATACTGTTAGACTATTATCCATTTAAACATATAAACTTCCATCACTTTTACAAATACACAGCACTGAGAAAATAAATCGTCCCTTTTTACTCCCAAATGTGAATAGGAGCTGTTTCAAAAACAAGAACCACATTTAGCGCAATTAATTTTTTGTTCCCTTCTCCCTCTTGTTTTGTCTTTTTCCTGATTTTTTTAAATATTTTTTTTCTTGGTGCTCTAACAAATGCAGTGGACACATTTAGTCCTCGATACGTCACATAGTCTCTCTGCCCGCAGCCGCCGCTGCTGCTGCCTGACCTCCCCGACCTGGCCCTCCTGCGCGTGCTCTCCTACGTGCGGCCCGAGGGCCTCTTCGCCGTCGGCCGCACCTGTCGGCGGCTGGGAGAGCTGACGAGAAGTGCGCAGCCGTGGCACGGCAAGCCCGAGCTCGAGCTGAAGAGTTGCGATCAAGTGCGGGACCTGCTGAGGGTGGCCCCTCCTGTGGAAGAGTGGAACGTGTGTCGGGCTTCCGCGGAAACATGGATGGGACGGGCCGCGGTATTCCTATACCAGCATGTCGCGATCCGTGACCCCGACGCCACACGCCCCACTGGGGTCCTCAGGGTGGTCGTGAGAGGCCCGGGCCTGCCCAAGGAGGTCGCGAGCCTCCTCCGGGACGTGGCCCCGACCGTGAGGCGTCTGCGTCTCGCCTTCTCGAGGAAGCTGGACGACACGTTCGGCACCCTGAAGGACGCCAAGTGGAGCTCCCTGGAGCATCTCGATGTGACAGCGAATCATGTTGTTAAGGGCACAATGTGGCCGCAGGTGAGTGTGCGTCGTCCAGGTTGGCCGGCCAGCCAGGGTTCCGTCCCTGGACTTGGGCAACCTAGTACTAAACCGTGTTCCCGTCCGCAGGATATGGTGCTGCCCATGCTGCACACCGTGTCCCTTGATCCATGTCGTGGCAAACCAAAAGCAGGTGGTGGTCGGCAGGTCTTCTCTCCCGCATACTTGGAGGCCCTCCGCTCGCTGCTGCGAGCACACAGGTATACCAGGTGGCTGATTCACGCCGCGCTTTTTCGTAGTTATACTGTGCCGCATGCACGGGGTGCGGGCGGGTTTGCTATGCTCGCTGCCCACGGCTCCGTATAGCCCCGTGCGAGTAGGCAACGCGCCCGCCCGCGTGCATGCGGTACAGTATAACTACGAAAGTGAAAGTGCACGGCGTGAATCAGCCATATACCTACCGTGACTGTGATTCACATGTCCCACTACTTTTTCGCCCCACGCTGTCCGTGTTTGAGCCACCAACTTTCCTTGCAGTGGGCAGCTGCGCTGCGTGAATGTGCGCGAGGAGGCACTTCTGCCCCTCGTCGACGCTTGCCCCAGTGACCTCCACCGCTTGCGCGTGGACTTGTACGGTGGTCGGGGTCAGGCAGAGGTAGCGGTGCTGCGTCGGTTGTGCGGGCTGAAAGAGCTCCGAATCGCGTTGGGAAAGCAAGGTATCATCATCCTCGGCGCTGGTTTCCAAGATAAGGACGATGTCAAGGTAAAGCAAATTCATCTTCAATTCGTCGCCCTGCCCGTTGTTGCCCGATGCCATACCCGTTCTTGTCTGAACCGTTTTGTTCTCGCAGGTGCACACATTGTTAACGTCTTGGACCGGTGCCCTCGAACGTCTCGAGCTCCATTGGGTCAACCCTTTGACGATTCGCGCCCTGGGCGAGAGTGTGATCGGGAGCAGTCTCCGGTGCCTGGTTCTGGGCCAACCCAGCTACGACCGCAAGTTCGTCACGCAGTTACCGGCGGCGCTCGCCGCTCTGCCCCGCCTGCTCGCCTTCGTCCTGCTGCTGTGCCCCTCCTATCAGATGAGTGATGGCGAGTCGCAGGAGGCGCGGCTGTCCATGGAGCGGCTGCTGCGGGGCCTGGTGCGCCGTGCCGCGCAGGCGCTGCACGTGGTGTACATGTACGACAAGCGAGAGGGCTTCACGTTGTACTTCGGGCACTCCGAGGCGGAGAGTGTCGGCTGCCAGCAGTGCGCCGAGGCCGCCGCCGCAGCGCGCCACGGCCTTCTCCAGTACGTCAGGCGGGTAAATTGGCCAGTAATCCGGACTCCTGAGGAGCAACCGAACTGGGGTCTGAAGCGCGTGCAAGTGCAACCGTAGAGGTATTCGATACCGCAGTGAAACTACAAGAGAACGCATTCTCTTCGCAGTGTACCTGTAGACAGCTATCTCACAAACAGCTCTAAAATAAAGAGACCAGTTGGTTTTAGCACACAACAAAGCGTATTTTCTTTCAAGGCACCCACGAGTTTTTCCTTGGCGTGGTGGCGTCGTCAGTTGACCGGTCGCCCGCCGCGCGTCCTCACTTGAAAACACCCCGTAGCGCGCGCCGCTGACTGAAGCAGGAGACAAGTGACGGTGCGGCGCGAATGCGAACGCGAATCAGGCGGTGCTGCATGAGGACGGGGGGGGAGGGGGGGCGAAGGGCAGCAGCAGCAGAAGGGGGAGAGCCAACCAGCTGACTGATCGGGATCGAGCAGCATAGTTGTTTTGCAAGACGCGGAGTGGCCGAGTGTGTGCGTATTTGTTTTGAGGAAAACAATTGGCCGCTCAAGTTTTACTCGGCCGATGAAAGTTTGCGAAAAGTGCTCGTGTTCGCACCCCGTCGAGTATAGAAGAATGCCGTTGAAATGGAGGTCGCAGAGGTCCTGAACACAATATCCGGGGGGCTGTCGTCTGTCTATTGGTCATGGTTCAGTTCTGTGGCGTTCAGTGTAAGCGAGTACCAGGTGAGTGTTTCTCTTAGTTTGAGTGTTTAGTTCCATTCAAAGCAACATGATCGCTCTCCTTCTCGTTGTCGAGATGTTTTACTTGTCGTTGCAGTAGTGATGAAACCCGTCGACCATAACCCTTTCGTTTACAACTTTATTTACCAACTATCTAGATCTGAGCTGATCATATATTTTTTAATAATTACTTACATACTGCAGTCTCGAGTTCTTTCTTTCTGCGCCAGTCTTATAACAGTTCAAGGGTAATCCTTCATGCCTGTTTCCACTAAATGTTAGACTAAGATTCCACTTATATCAATTTTCATCATCTATGATGAATCAGGGGTGTTGCTGCCCTTTTCTTTGTCCATCAAGCTTTGTTTGTCATCTTTTAGAGTTCCCTTTTGTACTTGTCTCATCTCCTTAAATCTTCCAAGCAAAAAGTAAAACTCAAAAAAACATGAAGGTATTGACTTGAACCTTGCCTTCATTTGAAATTCTAATGAGCTAGTCGTTTGAAAACAAATGATGATACCAGACCATGTATAGAGCTTATTAACTCAATAAGAATCTGAAACTCTGCCAAACATTTGTGACTAGGTATGTCTAGCTTCCTGCACTGTGAAAGTATCTTGAAGATAAAGATCAGGACAGCAGACTTTAATCCTTGATCCTTGCCTCTTCAGTTATAGTTTATCTATATGTTATCTAATGTTGAGATAATCTGTATTCTGGCTCATTATAGGTCACAGTTCTAGCAGTTGGAGTAGCCTTATGTGCTATCATTGTTTGTATAGCAGTATGGAAATGGAAAACAAAAGGTATTTTGGAGCACATAATATTTGTTAAACCCCCCCCCTTTTTTTTTTTTTTTTTTTAAGAACGTGTTTTAGCAGAGGTGAAGGAATTGGTAGGTGTGGGCTCAACCAGACCTCGATTTCGGAAAAGAGACAAAGTACTTTTTTATGGACGGAAAATGCTCCGCAAGGTTTGTTGGAGTTGATGCTTTTGATGTCATTGACTTTCACCTTAAATGTCAGTTACAAGAAGCTCATATCATTTATTTTTATTTTTTTTATACCTTTCTAGGTCAAAAATATATCAGGACAGGTTCATGGCGGTCAAGGCAAAAAGAGAAGACTAGTAATGAAATTTGCTAGACGACTTCTGCAGCTGAAGAAAGATACCACCCCTATGCAGTTGAAAGTTCTTGAACCACCCAATGAATATCTGGAGGAAGATGCATCTAGAGCAGATGACAAACGTGTTCCTCCCGACGCATTATATATGTTACAAAGTATAAGAGTCTTTGGACACTTTGAAAAACCAGTATTTTTGAAACTCTGTAAACATACAGAAATTATTAACCTACCAGCAGGATCATACTTATTTAAAATTGGTACTGTTATACTAAAGATTGTTAAGATATGCATCTAAAAAAATAAAAATAATGATTATTCTTGTTTTTAATTTCTGTATCTCTTGTACATTTTAGGTGATCCAGATGAAAATGTTTATATTGTTCAAAATGGCAAAGTCAATGTATTTATCACAGGACAAGATGGATCAGTTCTCACTTTAAAATGTGTGAAAACAGGAGAATCAGTGACATCACTTCTCAGTTTTACTGATGTCTTGACAGTAAGTTGATGCAATGTCTTGAATACTTATTTCATTTTTTATATTATTTTGATATTAAAATAAAACTTATTGTTTGAAAACTGCAGGGTCATCCAAACCCATACAAAACAGTGTCTGCCAAAGCGGTTGAAGATTCCACTGTGGTTAGACTTCCTATGGCTGCATTCCAAGATGTATTTCATGACTACCCTGATATATTTATTAGAGTTATGCAAGTTATCATGGTTCGCCTTCAGCGGGTTACGTTTACTGCCTTACATCAATACCTAGGACTGAGCGCTGAGCTTGTTAACCCAGTAAGTAAATTACCCTAGTTCTTGATTTCTCTGTTTAAAATTATTGATGGAAATAAAATAAATGATTACTTTTAACAGGGAACTGGCAACCGCAGAAAAATGAGTCCTTTCATGGGCTCTCCAATCAAAATCAAAAATAGAGAACCGTCAAAGGACGGAGATACAGGTACATACAAATACAGGGAAGAGAGCTTACTAAATATCATTCAAATGTCTACTTAGAGCCCTTATATTCCTCCTCCTTTTCATTGACCTGAAAATAATGATGTATTCTTTTTACTGATACATATTATTATAATTATTACTAGGTCAGGAACATCAAGATGCTGACCAGCCAGATACAGCTCCCCTGCCCTATGGTCGTCCTCACTCCCAACCTATCAACATTGTACCTTCTCATAGAAGAACACGCTCAGGCCATGAGTCCAGTGTCCCTTCAGATGTGCCGGAGGGTGATTCTTTGCCTTCCTCTTACCCTTCAACTGGAACTAGTCAAGTAAGATGTTACCTTGATTTAATTTTTAGACATGTCCCTGATCATTATTGAGAAACCCAAAATAAATTACTGTATTAAATTTTTAGGGAGCATCAGAGGCTCACTCAGGACATGGCTCTCGTCGACGTGCAGCACCTTCGCTCACACCAAAACAACATGCTGAACAAGTTCAGTTGGCTACTGAAGCATTTGTTAGAGAATTAGGTCTGGAAGACGATAGCCTCTTGAAAGACGGAAAAGTAGAACTTCGGGAAGTCCCTGCTGGAACGTACTTAATGAAGGAAGAATCTCACAAAGTTTGTACTTGTGTCCAAATCAGTTAAATGTAATTTTGTTCCTCTATTTAGATTTTTTAAAATGTATTTCTTTGGTCAGGATGTTGCCTTAGTATACCTCTTGTCAGGGACTTTAATTGTATCGCAAAAACTAGCTGACATGCAAGAAGAAGTTCACATGTTTACTGCCCATCCTGGTGAAATGGTTGGTGGTCTTGCTGTACTAACTGGGGAACCAAGTTTCTTCACAATTCGAGCTAAACACTTCTCTTGCATTGCATTGTTATCAAAGACAACTTTTTATGGGTATGTTCATATTTTTGAAGTTTGCTAAGAATTGTAACTTTATTGTTCATCCTCTCATTACTTATTATTTTTTACAGCTTGATGCGTGAGCGACCAAGGGTTGTCTTGCACATTGCTAACACGGTTGTAAAGAGACTGTCACCTTTTGTGAGGCAGGTAGATTTCGCTCTTGATTGGGTTTTTATGGAAAGTGGAAGAGCTGTATACAGGTCAGTGTTTTGAAATTATTAGCAATTAAATGTATAACATTTTCATGTCTAATGATTATCTCGTTACCGTTTGTGTGCCAGACAAGGTGATGAATCAGACAGCACTTTTATTGTCCTGAGTGGCCGACTTCGATCTGTTATTACTCACGCCAATGGCAAGAAGGAATTAGTAGCTGAGTATGGTAAAGGGGATCTTGTTGGTATTGTTGAAATGGTGACCCAGACACCTCGCAGTACCACAGTCATGGCTGTAAGAGACTCTGAACTAGCCAAATTACCTGAGGGATTATTTAATGTAATAAAACTACGATTTCCTATTGTGGTTACAAGACTAATTAATCTTCTTGGTCACCGTATTCTGGGTTCTTGGCAAAAACCGAGTATCGGGCGTGCAGTTGATACTCGACCAGCTCAAGTCAACTTTTCAACTGTGGCAATAGTTGCAGTGTCAGATGATGTTCCATTGAGTGCATTCACATATGAACTTTATCATTCCCTTAATGCCATTGGACCAACATTACGACTGACATCTGAATTAGTCCGGAAAACTCTTGGAGCTACAATAATGGATCCTAATAATGAATATAGATTAACTTCATGGTTAGCACAGCAAGAGGATCAACATCGCATTTCCCTCTATCAGTGTGATGTAACATTCAGTGCTTGGACACAAAGGTGTGTGCGCCAAGCTGATTGTGTCCTAATTGTTGGTTTAGGAGATAAAACTCCAACCATTGGTAAAATAGAAAAAGAAGTAGATAAGCTAGCAATTCGTACTCAGAAAGAACTTGTACTTCTACACAAGGAAGGCGGCCAACCACCTAACAACACTGTTACTTGGCTCAATATGCGCTCATGGGTGTCAGGTCATCATCATATGCAATGTCCTAAACGGATGTTTGCTAAACGGTCTCAGTTCCGAATTGTGAGTATTACATTGATTGATTTCTTTTCAATTTTCAATTGCCCTCAATCATTTTAACTCCTTTATTTTTCATTTCTAGAATGAACTCTATAGTAAAGTTCTAACCTCAGAACCCAACATACATTCAGATTTTTCCCGCTTGGCACGATCTCTCACAGGCACATCAGTGGGGCTTGTTTTAGGTGGAGGTGGTGCCCGTGGTGCAGCTCATGTTGGAATGATCAAATCAATTCAGGTTATTATCAGTATATTTTATGAGCTGCCCTCTCTTTGTTTGCCAAAAAACTATTAGCAATATGTTTAATTTAAAATCTATATTGTGTGCAGGAAGCTGGTATTCCCATTGATATGGTGGGAGGAGTTAGCATTGGTGCACTGATGGGTGCGCTGTGGTGTAAGGAAAAAAATCTAACCACTATGACTCAGAAAGCTCGTGAGTTTTCAAGGGTGAGTGGTGCATACTTGCAAAACGTTACATACCTTACATCATTGCACTGCAGATTTCTGATTTTGTTGTTTGCTTATTTAGCTAATGACTCAGTGGTGGCGGCAACTTTTAGATCTCACTTACCCCATGACTTCAATCTTCTCTGGCAAAGATTTTAATCAGACGATCCAGAAAACTCTAGGAGACACTTACATTGAAGATCTTTGGTTGCCATATTTTACTGTCACCACAGATATTACTTCAAGTGTGATGCGAGTTCATACTCATGGTAAGTATTAATATTTTACTCTGTTGTAAACAGAGGTCCCTAAACATATTGTTTCTATGAGCCAATCACTGATTTTTACTCTAGTCATTTGGTTAAACTTTCTGGCGTTTTTTTCCCCCTCCATTTTAAGGATAGTAGGTGTAAAGCTTATTGTGATTTTTGTTATTCACCAAGTTGATGCAGTCTAATTTCCAATCGGTGTCTTAACATTTGTTATGGCTAGATATGCAAATATTAGTTCGTCATCTCCCTCCCTAATTACTTTTCTCTTTATCACATTTTTTTTTACTTTTAATTTTTTTTAAATTTTTAATTTTGTTTAATTTTTTTTTTCTGATGCGGGGAAAGGCATTAGGGAGTTGTCTCAATGTGATACTGTGTGACATTTTAGAAATTTTGCAGAGGCTTACAAACTGCAATGGGAATTCAGGACTCCATAATCCCTAGTTTATTTTGGAGTCTTGCTGTCCACAGTGTCTTATTGAGTCTATAGTAATTGAAAACGACTAATTTTACATCAAACATCTTGTTACAGCTCACACTCAGGCACATTTCCATGTATCTTTATCTTTTCTATTTTGTTTCTTTCTGATTATTTCCCAATTGCCATTCTGCCTTTAGTAGCCAACAGTCTGTCTTGTCTGTTTGTCTCTCAGCTCATGTACAGTTAAACTAATGGTGTATTAAAGGGAAAAAATCCTATGAATATCATTGATGGTAATATTTAGGTATCCTTACCTAGTTTTCATTTGAGTTTGAAATCTAGGAAAATGATATGGATTTTAAAGTAATTTTTTTTAACCTCACGTTTCACAGGTAACCCTCATTTTTAAAACCTCCATGAAGATAGAAAACAACTAACAGTTCATAACAATTGTGTTTCCAAAAATCCTAGCTTAGGTTCAAAAGACTGTTACTGGTTCACAAGTACATTTGCACAATCCCGTTATTTATCTAAATATTTAGAAACCTCTCTTGTTTTTATTTTGTTCAACCAGTAGGTAGCAATTGACCCCTTAACCTTCCTCTTTGTGCATGAAAACAATTAAAACTCCTGTTGTGTTTGTTAAGACTCACCTTCTTAAGTTAAGTAAATGAAGAAAGGGATTTGTAGTAAACGCAATATTCTACCTTTAGCTGGATGCATGGTGTGGTGTGTCACTGCAAACATTGGTAGCATGGTTATTTTGCTGATTTTTTGTGAAGGTGCAGAGAGCTTATGAAATGCATCGCACTACTTTGCCTCATCAACATGTTCAAAATCCTAGAGTAAAATGTTTTGCTTTACTTTTGAATCATATACTGCCAGCTTTTTTAAATCTTTGCTCAGTGAATGCTTTGAAGCAAGTGTAAATATGGGTCAGCTTGATTCTAAATCATGGAGGAAACATAATAAGTAGCTGTCTAGTTTTCTAATCTATGAGAGAAATATGCAAGCTTTCTTTTAAGACTCTAATATCTATTTATGTACAGTTTATGAAGCCCTTCCGTTCATTTTTTCAAGTTGATACCAAACTTAAGAACTTGGATTAATATTACACAGTTTTTTTTAAGTTGGACAATAACTGCTGGCTATTTTTTTAATCATTGGGAACAGAGCTTATTTCTTACCTTTATTTGAAATTATGGTGCAGGATACACTGCTGAGTCGAGGGAAATTTGATTTGATATGTGTGCAGGATCATTATGGCGCTACTGTCGCAGTTCGATGTCTCTGTCAGGATACATGCCTCCTATGTGTGATCCTGTGGATGGCCACCTACTCTTGGATGGAGGATATGTCAACAACTTGCCAGGTAAAAGTCCAGTCCTTGTTTCATATTTTTTTGCATGCATGCATATTTGTGTCATAAGGGGCTTTCTTATTTGTGGTGTTTGGTTCAACAGCTGATGTGCATAGCTAAGCTTAATTTGGCAGAAAATTCTGTTTCATTTTCTATTTTATTCTTCCTTAGTTTTGTCTAAGATATCTTGGGAGATTAGAAGAATAGGTAGGTTTTAGGCTTGAGTTGAATACAAACAGACAGACTGACAAAAAGAATTATAGACATTCTTGCGCAATTTTTTAGTTTGTTTTTTTCAAAATTGTTTATTAGAAAAATTTATATTAAACAGCACACTGGAATAAGTGCTGTGTATTTTGGCGTTGGCTTAGGAAATCAAATGGCAATCTTGCCAACTCAACTTTGCCTCCCTCAAACCCCTGTGCCGAGCTGTGAGTGCTTCTCATGAAGGCACAATCAGAGCTTAGTACAATTTCAGGGGAGTCGTGGCGGTATGTACGTTCAAGCATGTCTATTGTTGGGATTCTACCCCCTCTTTGTGATCCCATCGATGGCCATCTACTCTCTGATGGCTGCTACGTCAACAATTTGCCAGGTAAATTTTGATATAAAAAAAAGCTGTGTAGATTTTTAGTAAGGCAAAGATGCAGTGACTCCATGAACATTATTGGGTGTTCCAGTTGTCAGTACAATTCCAAGTCGATAGGATTACGTCTTTATAAATGTTTATTGCTATATAGGGTTGGTTTTAAGTTTTGTGTCTGATATTTGACGTATTGTTGTGCTGATTGCACTGTTGGCAGTAGATAGATCTCAAAAATTGAAGGTAAAATTTTCCCGTAGTGCCCCTTTGTTGCTTGGGAAAATGCTTCAATCATTTCACCACAAAACTGGACAATGTCCATTGTGTTGTTTTAGGGGGGGTTTTAAAAATTTTCTAAGATAAAGTTAAAACCTTTTTAATGCCTGTCTTAATTTGATTTGTTTACAGCTGATGTCATGAGAAGTATGGGAGCCAGACATATTTTGGCTATTGATGTTGGTTCTCAAGATGAAATGGATCTTACAAATTACGGTGATTCTTTGTCGGGATGGTGGCTACTGTGGAAACGTTGGAATCCTTTCACAAGTCAAGTTAAAGTTCCTAGCATGCCCGATATTCAATCGAGACTTGCATATGTATCTTGTGTCCGTCAACTTGAGGTATGTAAATTTTCTGAGCAGAACTATAAAATACTCCTGTATCATACTAAATACCATGTAATATACCACACAATATCTTTGAAAATTCGCTCTTCCTCTCCTTAAATAAAACCAGGAGGTGAAGAATAGTGATTACTGTGAGTACATCAGACCTCCCATAGACAAATATAAAACCTTACAGTTTGGAAGCTTTGATGAAATTAAGGTAGGTTCATAGTTTTGAATTAAAAACAGTTGGACATTTGTTTTGAATTCTTTGAAAGACAATTGCATTGTGCTGTCATAGGATGTAGGGTACACCCATGGGAAAACATATTTTGCTGGACTGTTGAAAGCAGGCCAGTTGCCACTATCAAAGCCCTGGCATGTTGTTACGTCACCAAGCTCAGACAAGGGTTTCCAATTATCCCAGCAAGCATCATCAGCATCTGGTTATACCTTTACTGATCTCGCACAGCTAGTATGCAAGGTTCCACGAAACCAATTTCTTGATAGTGGTGAGTAATTGATACTGATAACTGATTAATTAATGCTTTTTCTGTTTAACCTGTATTTCTATAATTCTATCTGTCTAGATTCTTCTGAGAGTGAATATGAGGCTGATGAGGAAGATGCCCACGAGGCAGGATATGCATCTGAGCCTTCTGCTGGTATTCTTGATGTGAGTGTTTATGTGTTATGAGGCTGTCATTTCCTTCCTTATTCCTTCTCATGCTAAAGCTACCTTTTTTTTACAGGATGGTGATTCTGATTCTGCTCACACCCGACGTATCGGTGGGTCATTATCCCTATCAGAAACAGAAATGGATCTTGACTCAATTTTTATGCCCAAAAGAGCCAAGGCTGTAAAACGATTACAGTAAAAGTTATAAAAATATTTTGAACTTTTTGAACTTTTATAATCTTTATATAGGTATTTTAGCTCATCTTAACATTTCTGTTTTTTGAGTCTCCCTTTGTGCACCCCATGTTATTTTCATTTCACATACATTTTTTTTTTTCTATGACTCATTTGTTGTTTGTGAAATGTTTGTAGATTTATCTTGCTCTGTCAGTTATTTTTGTGCCATTTTGCCTGCTGAAGCATGTGATGTGTGATCAGATCAATTACTTGTAATTGGGTGTGTGATATGTCGAACGAAACTTGTCATAAATTTTTAACATTATGTTCAGATGAGAATAGCAATTTTTATTAACTCTGTTAGTTAAAATCTTGTTTATGAAGAAAGGTACATAAAGTAAAAGCTTAGCAGATGGGAAGAGTTTTTCTTGTCTTCCTTATCTGTTAAAATTGTATCATATGGTTTCATTGTATACTTTTGGTCCATTTCTACTATGATTCAATTTTTAGCTTTTGCAAATGTGGCTGTGATAGATTATGGTTTTTCTGTTAGCCTTTGTTACTTTTAGTTAGTCTTCCTTGATTGTCTTTGGTATTGAGACAAGAAAATATAAATGATGGGATTAGACTTAAATTGTTCCATTTCAGTTATCACACAAATTTAGCTATCTTTACATCAGCAATTTTGTGTGAAAAGACTATATTTTCTTGTTTGCATATGTCAGTGCTTTTGAATGTCAAATGACATTGAATTGTGCTCACATTCTTGAACTGCCTTGTTTTAGCATTATCATATTGATTTATGAGGTGCCTTTTACTTTGCTTGCTGCACCACCATTCTGGTTGTCCTATATTTAATGTGCGAAAGAACTTAAATTGTGTGTTAATTTTTCATTCCATCCATATTTAGTTTCAAAACCAATTAACAACTCTCACCTTAAGTTTCATCTTTCACCGTGTTATTCAGCTCATTGATGGACATTTTTAGACTTAAACAACATCACTTATATGGGGAGCATCTGTTTACTATTACTAAATGTTCCATGACCTTTCGAGCATGCTTCTATTTATTGGATGGGGTGAGATGTGTTTCACTGTTATCCTGGCTATATAATCAAACCTCGCTACTGAGTAAATAGGGTATTAAATTTTCTTCCTTTCAACCAACTCAAATTCGAGCCATTGTTCGGTATTTTTGTATATCTTTAATTTTGTAGCAGATTGTATGTAATAATGACGTGATATTGGCAAGAGCCACATCCCATAGTTTGAGTTAGTATTGCCTCAGCAACGACCATTCTTCCTGCAATTGAGGAAAGAAGTTTGGCTACTGGATTTGAAGCACAAGGATGTTACATACCTCTTTTTAAGTCAATTAAAATTGTGTGTTTACATTATATAAGCACTTTTGCTTGTCCCAATCCTACTACATATATGTAAAGTGTATATAATCTTTTGTGGTATCAGGATATAACACAAGACCACTAATTGAGATTCAGTAATTTATTTTAAATAGTTACCTTAGAAAACCATATAAGTATTCTATATAATATAGTGGAGAAAACGACTCTGAAATCTTGTGTTCAACGGATTACCCAAGTCGTCTTCCCCTTGATATACATAATATCCAGTATTTTATTATAAATGGAATGTTTTGACTCAAATCTTGTGCAATAGAATTACTGAGACATAAAATACATGCCATCAGCAATTGTTTCAAAACAGAATGAGAAATAGTGATGAGATTCAAATCATGATATAAAAATGATGCATGGCTAACTACAACATAGTTACATTTACACACACCATGAGCCTAAGATCTCTCTGATTTCTCAAGGTTAGGATCAATTATACTTAACACTGCACCAACTAAATGTAAGGAACCAGTCACTAGAATACACCATTCTGATGCTTCATCCTGCAGCTCTGTCAGTGCTTCATCAACACAAGTTTTAACTGATGTATTAATGAATACTTGATTGTCTTTATTCTTATTGTTATTTGTATAACAAGTCTTTGATACCCACAGGTCATGCAAGTCTTGAGTTTGTTGCAGCTGACTACCATGAGAAACTCTGAGATTCTGATTGTCACCTAAAAATCAATTGATAACAATGATTACCAGGTAAGTCAAATATAATTAAACTAAAAAAAAATGTGTATATGATACACACATTTTATAGTTTTACCTTGAGATGAGGATGCTATGTTAGGACTGAAAATTACTTTGTCAAATTGAAATTGGAATAATGGTTCTATGATTTGTAAGCGGTCGCGATCTCCTGTCATGTTTAAAAGTAAAGCATGTTTTGTGTTTGATCTGGAACCAGAAGTTAATTGCTCAAAAATTATGGTAAATTGAATTGCCCTCAAATTCATATCAAGCTAAATTGTACAAAAAAATGTGCACCTTGAGGGACGATGTTTGCTGTACCATTCTGCACATGCTGTCATACTTTCAACAGTGTGAGCTCCATCAATAAAGTAGTTGATACGACCACAGTCGGATTCTAAGATCTGCATTCGCCCAGGCCATCTGCAATTGAACAGTCCTGTAGCTGTTTCTTTAGTTATAGAAAATGGAAGGGCTTCTTTCAAACTTGGGCTGATGATAGGTTTGTGAAATCCTGATGGTTTAAGCGGAGAAAAATATGATTACTAAAGCAATAGAACTAGGAATCTCTAGACATACAGTAGTTGCATACCTGAATTTGTTTCACTTCTTCTTCGCATCCAAGCATTAGTCAGCTGAAGAGCCAAGGATGCATTGAGTTTTTGTGTGCGAAACAATGAAGAAGCAGCCTGCCTTGATGATAAATCTGGCCACTTGTAATTGTCCAGAGGTGGAGAAATCAGTAAAGGACACTAAAACAAATGGTCAAAGAATTGAAGTAGTCTATGGTGTATATGGTAGTCAGGTAATAGCCAGATAGAGGGCACAGTAAACTTAACTACCTCTCGTTCCACTGATCTTTCTGCCAATACTTTCAAGGCTTCCTGTGGATGGCCTGACACTGAATATGCGATAGCTGATGGCTTAAGGATTCCAGCCTTTTGCCAAGCTATACTTGCCAAGGTGTTCCCAAGCAAAGCTGTGTGATCAATGCCTAGGGCAGTTATGCCAACCACTGACACATTTCTGGAGGGGAGAAAAATAGATAATTCTATCTAGTTCGACAAAATGAGTCTAAACACCAAAAATGTTACTTACTGTAAAACATTGGTGCTGTCATGTTCTCCCCCTATACCTACCTCAAAAATTGCAACATCTACCTTTTCTTTAAGAAATACTTTAAAAGCCATAATAGTTAAAAACACAAAATAAGGAGGCATACTCATTTCAGAATCCTGCAATGAACTTGTGTTGAATCATCAACTGAAATTTCCAAGGAAAAACTACAAAACGTTTAACACAAGCTTACCTTTTTTTCCTCCAAAGCTCTAAAAATTTCCCAAAAGTAACTAGTAAATTTCTCACGGGATATTGATTTTCCTTCAATCTTAAAGCGTTCTCTGACTGATACAAGATGCGGTGAAGAGAAGAAACCAGTTCGGAATCCATTATGACGTAAAATAGATTCACACAAAGCGCTTGTGGAACCCTTGCCTTTAGTTCCAGCCACATGGATGACAGATAGATTTGATAGTTCATTTAGACCAAGATCAATCCTAAAAATAACTGGTTTAAACAGGCGTACTGACAGAAACACTCTCTCTTACAAGGGATCGTATGACGTTCCTTAATTCATTGACTCACTCACATTGAAGAGTATTTCTGAGTAAAAGTTAATCCATTTGCTTGTTTTCCCAAAGTCCGATCCGTGATGTACGCTGCATTGCTCTGGAGGGAATTAAGAGCTTGAATCGCATCCTGGGAAAAAACAAAAACATGGGAAACAAACAAATCCTCTCACTACTCGCTGAGCTTCACCAACAAAACAATGTGCAGTACAAGTAGCCCCCGTCCCACCTCGTAGCTCTGCCCCGCCGACACGTGGTCCGACATGCTCCTGGAGGGAATGCTCGCGCTCCAGCTCCTGCAGTCTGCTCCAGTGGCTCCAGGTCGTGCGGCTCCAGGCGCCGGGCGCAGACAGCAGCCTCCCAGCAGACGACACAGTCGAGGACTGAGGCTGGGGCCGCGACGCCGCAGCTCCTGCATCTTCACTCGCGCCTTTTGCCGCCGGACTCCAATCTTGATCTTGATTGAGAAGTGGGTCGAGACGAGGCAACATCAAGGTCAGGCCTCACGCCCACATCCAGAGGTGAGCAGCAGAGCAGAGAGACAGACGCCGCGGCCGCGACTCCGGCCGGAGAGAGGGAGATGTGAGCGCCGCCGCCGCGACTACGGGCTTGGCTCGCGGCCAGGCGATTGGGAAACGTCCCACGATATCAACACCAGCCGGAGCAACGACAACTTTCATCTGATGGCCTCTGACACATTCCTCGCATTCACTGCCCCCACGCTGCTCTGCTGCTGGCGCTATGCTGGTCCTCCGCAGCGGACCGCACGTGCAATTTGAGGTTAAGATGCTGCCGTATCGTGTTGTTTGGTATGACAATTACGTCGATACTAAAGTTCTTTGCAGAAAGAAAGAAAAGTAGCGCGATAAGGGGTTTATGTTTGAAGTGTGCCGCCGGATGAGTAAGGGTGAAAGGGGTCCAAATTAAGCACTACTTTTACACACAAAATTAAAAATTGAAATTCATTCACAATATCAAACTTCGGGCCGTCGTCGCATTATACATTACCATTATCAAAATTCATAATTCTACAAACTATTGTGACAGAAAATTCATTTCAATAGCCTTAATTGTTCTCAATTCATTAAAGTCCCCACCTGGCAAGTTGAAGATTTACACAATCTATAACTGGGGCTTCCCTGTGCTAGCGATAAAATATCGACTAGCAAAATTAAAATGGGCCTTACAACTCAAATATCACAAACACATTTTTAAAATCTCTTAGAATTTTAAACTTATCACAAAACTTATCACAGGCTGCTCGTTTTCAGACTCTAGTACGGGGGTTTTTGTTCGAGACCCGAGACCGTCGAGTGCCTGGTCACCTTATGACGCAGCCGAACCGCCTCCCGATGCCGCTGCGCGCCTCTCGCGCCTCTCGCAGTGCCTCCCGCTTCAACTCCCTCGTCTTTTTGGCACCCATGAAGTTCCACAAGCACATCACGTTGTCCGAGCCGGCCGTGGCGAGCGTCGTCCCGTCCGGACTCCAGCACAGGTAGTTGACGGGGTCCTCGTGCTCCTCGAGGCGGTCCACCACCGTCGTCAGGTCCGTGAGCACCGCGATCTGCGTCGCGCCTGTGGGAACCGAACCGCGAGGACGAGTAGGAATTTTAAATAAAGTCCGAAAATTTTCCGTAAAAAAATGAAATTTATCCAGAAAAATAAAATTGGAAAAACTAGAGCTTTTTGGGTAAAAAATCAAGAGATTACACCCAAAAAAATCTTGAAAAATTTACCAGAAATAATTTTTGGAAAATTAAAATAAGCCGGATTGTAGTAAGCTGGGTGTAAACTGCCCCGTCCTCCTGGTCCCTACTCACCTTTTGAGTTGAAAGCCACCACCAGCTCGGCCGTCTTGGGGGAGAAGGACAGCGCTGTCACGTCTGCGCTGTACCCGAGCTTGCCCCTGTACTTGGCCTGCGTGATGAAGCGCTGCGAGAAGTCCATGATGATGACGTCCCCCGCGAGGGAGCCCACTGCCAGCATGGACCGCCGCCAGGGGTGCCAGGACAGGGACTAGAGGGGCCGGGCGAAAAACAAAGCGCGCCGTTCTTAGCTGGTCTCGGGGGTACCTCTCTTATGGAACTTGATTAGTTGGACTCGGGGTTTAAAGAGAAGAGGCCCTCGAGGAAGCGTGTCACATTGCCCCCTGGTGAGGTATACATGTATAATTTCATATAGCGTGCGAAAAGAGCCCGCGTGTTCAGTCTCAAGCCCTATCGTGCCGTGAGTAAAGGACACCTCCAACCTACCCTGTGCGGCCTAGCGCGCCCGCGGAACCCAGGATAGGCAGCCAGCTCTGCGGGCGCGCGCGCTAGGGCTCGGGTTGCCTACCTACCGGGGGCGCAGAGCCGGCGCAGGCGCAGAGGGAGCCACCGTGGGTTGCGTTGCTTACATTCACGGCCCCGTAGCACAAATCGCTTACATTCAGGGGTCCATAGCACAAATTACCTACATCCGGGGGGTCCATAGCACAGACTGCCCACTCACCGTGACCGTGGAGCGCGTGTCCACCTCGTCGGAGCGCGTCGTGTCCCGCTCCCAGTCCCACACGACCACGGAGCCGCCCAGGCCGCCGCAGGCCAGCAGGCTGCCGTCCCGGGAGAAGGCCAGCTTGGACACGCCGCAGAGCGGGTCCGGGAAGACGCACACCGACCTGAGCAGCACGAGCCGCTTGTTGAGGAGGTGGACGTTGCCCAGGACCGTGCCGCTGCAACAGAGACATGGGGAGCAGGTGGCTGGGTGAGCCAAGGGGTACTTCACCCAATAAATTAAGTGTACACCCTTAAAAAAAATAGACAATAAAGGAAAATCAATTAAGAGATTAGAAAAAAATCAGGGTATTTCAAAACAATAGTTTTAAAAAATTAAGAAAAGTAAAAAAAAATGATATACTTGATGTACCGTGTGCGATTCAGAGAAAAACGTAGGTGCGGGTGGGTTTGCGTACCCCTATGCCCGTACGGCGCCATAGCCCTTTGGGTAGGCAAACCCGCCGGCACCTGCGTCTTCTCTGGATCACCCGGTATGTACGCTTGAAATAATGGGGAAGTACCCCTCGGCTGAGCACGCGGCCAGTGCGACTCACAGTGCGATGAGGTCCCTGCTGGGGTGCCATGAGACGGTGTGGGCGGGGGCGCGGTCCGGCAGCATCCGCGACATGAGCTGCTCCCGCTTGTGGCAGTCCCACACCTGTGGGAGCAGCGCCAATCGACTCAACACAATCAACTCAACACAATCAACTCAACACAATCAAC